TTTACGAGTCAGAGTCTAATTTCACAATGAATATCTGACACAGGAGATGGCGCCAGATCCTCCCCTGAACGCAGCCTCCGACCTGTGAATCAGCTGTTGAAATACTGGACATGCTGAGGTCTATCACAATGTGAGTCATGTGCCTTTTGTTCCGTTTTTAGTGCTTTTATCCCAAAGCACATGAACATTGTAAAACCTGAAGGCTTTCTGACAGATTTACAGCTCAGTTCAGTTCTTAATTCCTGGGTTCAGATCATGAGATTGTGCTTTTGATTTGTGTGCCTGGCCTTAAAAAGATGTGCAGAGTGACAGGCCCCAGCAAGCCTTTTTCCATCTGTCATCCCGCTGGAAAACCGCTTTTACTCCCACCTTTCACCTCTATCAAGTAACTCTTCTTGCTTTCAGTTTCTCGGGTTCATCCTTCACTTCTTTACTGTTACTGCTACAAAAGCACTTGTTCTTCAAGTCGAAGCCTGCACAGAAATAGAAACCAATAAAAAAAAGACTGCGTGCTGGAATGTAGCATCCCTGTAAGGTCATGTGATTGACGGCAGCGGGGAGATGAGCAGGAACATGTCCATCTTGACAGACAGGTCTGTGTTACCGCGTGCCATTGACAGCAACAACAAACCTTCGTGTGGAGTGCCACAGGGCATGCTCAGTGAGGGAAAATGACGCAATGCGATCAAAAACCCTCTGTGTGAGCTTGTGTGTGTTGGAGTGGCGGATGAGAGATGGACCTACTGCCAAAAGGGCCACATGCTTGAGTAGAAGTATATGTATATTCACTCAGACTGTTTCCTTCAGCAGCCACTTAATCTGTGCAGAGACATTGCAGAGCGGAGGGTTTATCCCAGCGCGATCTGCGTCCACAAATCAAAGGGTGCATCCTGTGAAGTCCACATGTCAAGATGGAATAAGTTATCTATCAGCTCAGCTAAGATACTCGAGAAGCAAACCAAATGGAAGAGTGTTACCAAGCGCTAAAGGACTTACAGGATGAGTTCTGTGCGCTGCTCGCTGTTAATCTTTTTATATGTGGAGTTTTCAGGTGATCTATTGGAATACATGTATTCATCAATCATTTAATGTTTAATGATGTACAAAACTTTGGTGTGTTTTTCTACATGTTTGTCTTGGTCATAAGATTGGTAGTACAGATGAGTTTTGACACCTTTCGTGTGTGTAGTGTATGTAGTAAGAAATATGAAAATGAAGGTAAGGAGTTACAAATTTGCAAACTGGAAGTTTTAATCTTATTTTTCTCAAATCTAGGACCAAACTAATTTAAACTAACACTATAAACATACTTGTCTGTGGATAAAAAAATAAATGTTTTACATCTTTAAAGATTCTCTCAGATTTACAGGACTGGTCTATGGAAAGCCAACCTTTATTTGGGTAAATGGTTGTCAAAAATAACCGTCCAGGTTGTACCCCGCCTCTCGTCCTATTGACCACTGGGATAGGCTCCAGTTCCCCCCGCGACCCCATTCAGGAATAAGCGGTTAGGATAATGGATGGATGGATGGGTTGTCAAAAATAGACTATTTAGACAAAATAGATGTCTTCAAAAGTTTGGGGTGTCTGTGGCTTAAGGGTTAGGGCGGTTTCCTGCCAATGGGTGGGTTGGCGATTTGATCCTGAACTCTCAGTTGCCTCAAGTTTAAACGTGGAGGAGAAGCATGTTAGTCAAAGCTGGCGAGCTGTGCCTACCCCTGCTGGGAAAAGCCAAAAGCTGTCAACACGACGTCTTTGAAAGATTGTAAAGTTCTGCACAAGTCTCCCAATGGAGCATTGATGCGAATCAGGTGTGTTGAAGGGGAACATCCAGACCCTGCAGGAAGCGGCCCTCGAGGGCTGGATTTGGAGCTCTCTCCTCTAAAGTGTATGTGTTGTTGTGGGAAAGACTTGGACTTCAGCAGCTCATGTTTTATTCAGAAACCTCCTTTTGGGCTGGGGTATACCAACCTCTGACTTTCAGCTGTTTCTAGCCTCAGCTCAGACAAGAAGTAGAACCAAAAACATAGAAAAAAGTCTTTGTGCTG